TGGCAAGGTAGTTAGGGTGCTTGATTCGCAATCTGAGGGTCGAATTCCCTCCCCACCAAACATGATCGCCCTTTCAGCCGGGGGGGGGGCGTTATAATGTGCCGGTCAGTCATACTATTCGTTGATGAAAAGAGTAGCCCAAGAGTTGACGGTGGGTGGTGATGACTAGCTGCCTTGCCTCTAATGTTTCACTGCTAAATTAGGGACGGCTAGTGCAGATAGCCCTCGTGCAGCTTTGCGCGAAGATAGTAAAACAAACCTGTAAATTGGTGGTTTCATACAATATTCTCAATAATTTTAGAAGTGATTCGTGTTAATGTTCGACTGTTTATAAAATATGTTTGCATATTGTTAGTATAGTGACTGTAAATCAGATTACGAAGGTGTCATTCTTCATACCTGTACAAATTCTTGTTGATAACTTTTATTGTTTATGACTTCAGAGGTGAGCGACTATAATTGATGCCATCATTGTTGCTGAAACTTAGTACAGAAATATTAATTTTTAAAGTCGTAGCTGTTAGACGAACAAGTATGTTTTTGTGCGAGAGACTGCTGCTCGGGTTGTAAAAAAAAGAAAAAAAAAGGCTTACCTAAGAACGAACGTTTCTTGACAGTAAGACTCGACCACAAATTCGAGTAAAAACAAACCCCCTTTTCCTGTACGTTATATGTACGACAGGTGCTGAATTTGAAACCTGGAAAAGAAAACGGGGTGAGGGGAGGTTGCAGGAAATCCTCTTCCTTTTCAGGTGCTTGTCGTAAAGAAACAAGCAAACAATTACATGCGATAAAAAAAAGTGTTACCGGAATTTTAGTGTGAATAGAAAATATGAATATTTATGGGAGTTTTGAGTCTTTTGAACTCGCCATATAGTAGACTAACTTACTTTAGGCGTGTGAATAGTATTATCTACATATCACCATTGTAAGAGCCCTAACTGTATTTCTTCAGCTATGCTGAATTTCTCTTTCTCTCTTTATTGATCGGATTTTAGGTCTATTTTGAGACCTGGACGGGTCAGGTGTAGCGGAGACCTCTTCCTGCACCTTTGGTGATATATTTATATATTATTTCAATTTCGGAAAAATGCTACGCGGAGTACGTCTAGGGATCAGGGTTCATACCCTACACTAATACTCGCACTGATCCATTCTTCTCTTTTCAAGGCCATGTAGCATTTAGAGCTTTTTCCGCCACTTCTCTTAATTTGATTGTGTAAAAGTTCATCAAACAATTCCGATAGCAAAAGAAACTATTTTCACTTGATTAAATATTTAGAAGACCCCTTTTAATACCTTAACCTAAATGATATATTTATGTGCTAGCTAAAGGTGGTCTTTTTGTTGACATATATTAAATGGAAGAGATACTTTGCGCTATTATTATCCTACATAATATAACGTACTGTGGAACATAATAAAGGTGGTCTTTTTGTTGACATATATTAATTATTAAATGGAAGAGATACTTTGCGCTATTATTATCCTACATAATATAACGTACTGTGGAACATAATAATTCGTTCTTATAAAGGTTTTTCTTGAAATATTTAAGCTAACTATCTGAGACATTGTCATAAAGTAGCTGTGTGTTTCCGTAATTGTGTAAGAAAACTGAACTTGTGAATCCGGGTACTTTGTAAGCTGCCATGAGGATAAGAGATCTGTATTTTTTGTAGTTCTTCAATGGGTTTTGATGCAATATTAATCTATGCTGGTCAAGGGTATTGTGGACATATGTGTGTGTGTGTTTGGTATATTTTCACCCCCCGTGACTGTGTTTCTTTGAGGGTCAAAGGTCAATGTCACAGCAAAGGTCAAGTCTTTCTTTTATTTTCTAATCCCTATTTGTTAACACAGGGAATGATTTATCACACCATTTTCGGTGATCGGATTTTCATGAAACTCGGTGGACATACGTAGAATCTTATTCTTCATTGTCATACCAAAAATGGTCCGTGTCTGTTGCTAACGGCATAAATATGATCAACGCTGCGTGGCGGAGGGTATGCGCTCTAATGAGTACCCCTCTAGTTTGATAATGTTTCGCTCGCCACCACACTTTAGTTCTGATTTAGTTTATATATTTGTTCCACGTTAATTTAGCTATGCTGATGAACGTTTTGAAAAGTTGAAACTGCAACCCACAGTTGAGAGTGCAACCAATCAAAGAATACGTTAAACCTCTACGTCACAGATTATATTTTCGACTTTACCTTTGGCGAAAAGAAAAGAAATCTGTTACATGATCATTAAACAGTTGGTTAGCTTTATAATATCGAATAAAAACTTAGGGGCAATACCAGGAAATTATTCACACACCTAAATTTATTTAGGTTACTATAATCTGAGCTAGAAAGGACGAAAAACAAACAAACCCCATAAAATATTAATATATACATATCCTCATTATAAAAGGCCTAACTGTATTTCTTTGGTTTGCTTACTGAAGCTGTGCTGATGAGCCTTGAATATGTGAAACTGCAATCCACAACAAGGGTGTGGCCAATCAAAGAATGTATTAGACCTCTGAGTCACAGATTATATTTTCAATTTTACCAGGTGGTTAGGACGCTCGACTCGCAATCTGAGAGTCGCGGATTGGAATCCCCATCCTACCAAACAGGCTCGCCCTTTCAGCCGTGATAAAGTGACGGTTAGTCCCACTATTCGTTAGTAAAAGAGTAGCCCAAGAGTTAGCCGTCTAGTCTTTCACTGCTAAATTACGGACGGCTAGCGCAGATAGCCCTTGTGTAGCTTTGCGCGAAATTCAAAACAAACCAAACCTTTGGTGAAAAGAAATCTTTAATATAATCAGAAAATATGAATGTAACTTTCTTCTAAAGCAACGATGATAAGTTGCTAACTTAATTACGTTGCTAACGTAATTTGAACGTAATGTGTAGAATCTTTTATATAGAGTTGTCAGTGCTAATAAATAATTTTGGGAGTAAAATCAAAAGAATTAGTTAATTGCTGTAACTTTTTCTTGCATAAACTCCTGCTTAACTTTGGAAAATGGCAAAACAACCCATTATTTACTGTAAACTTTCCGTGCTTAAACTCCTGCATAACTGGGGAAAAAGACAAACAACTCGTATTAGTTACCGTAGCCCTTCGGTGCTTAAACTCCTGCATAACTTGGGAAAGGGGTAAAACAACCCATTAGTTACCGTAGGCTTTCGGTGCTTGAACTCCTGCATAACTTTGGAAAAGGGCTAAAACAACCCATTAGTTACGTAGCCTTTCGGTGCTTAAACTCCTGCATAACTTTGGAAAAGGGCAAACAACTCGTATTAGTTGACGTAGCCTTTCGGTGCTTAAACTCCTGCATAACTTGGGAAAAGGGCAAACAACTCGTATTAGTTGACGTAGCCTTTCGGTGCTTAAACTCCTGCATAACTTGAGAAAGGGGTAAAACAGCCCATTAGTTACCATAACCTTTCGGTGCTTAAACTCCTGCATAACTTCCGAAAAGGACAAAACAACCCATTAGTTACTGTAGCCTTACCGTGCTTAAACTCCTGCATAACTTTGGAAAAGGACAAAACAACTTATTAGTTACTGTAACCTTTCCATGCTTAAAATCCTGTTTATTTTTGCAACACTGTGTGTAATAACTGTAGTATTCGGAACAGCGTGTAGATTAGTGTTGGTGCCAATTTTTGAAACGTACGTGTGCGAGGTTAACTCTGACGAAGAGACCTGTCTTTAAATAATGTTCAAATAAAACCCCAAACTGAGCATGTGAAATGAATTCATTAAGGTCGTTTCCGTTGGGATATGTGATCTTCAGTAAGTTATCGCTTGGAGAGATACAGCCAAAAACGAAGAAGAAAGAAACAGTTGAGGTCTCACTTATTTGGAGCGCTATTAAATAAACGAATTTATTATTTTAAACTAAAGTTGTCATCAGTTTTTAATATATAAACTGTATATGGCATAATTCGTGGTTCCCGGCTTTTTTTTATGTCACGTATCCCCATTTAGACCCTTGAGCCAGTGGCGTACGCCTAATGCATATAATTTGTTTAAAAAAAAACTAGGCTGTGGTTTATATTATTTAAAAGGTAAATCAAAAGAAATAATTATACAGCGAGTCAGCAATATACGAACACTGAGTGCTGGCTTGTGGAATACTTTGGTAACGCACCGAGACTGCTCTTTGATTTTTGAGGCGTAGGGATTATATTATTTTAAATGTTTTTTCAAAGGTTCTCGCATACCTCCAGGGGTACGCGTACGACAGGTTGAGAGCAACTGATATATATACTGTATACTTCACTTTCAGGTCTACTATGGAGTTTTATGTGGCTTATAGTACTGAAATTCGGGGTTCGATTTCTGCGGTGGACACACAAAGATAGTTTGTGCAACTTTATGCTTAACTACAAACAAACGTTTTTTGTTTTGTTTTTCAATGTGAACACCGTGGTTTCTAGAATGTTACAATAAATAACTTTTGTTTGCGAACTTTAATTACCTCTCTGATTTCTACTTTCTAATTGTTAATAAAAAAATGAGCAAGCACACAACGTGTACGTTGTCACGTGCGTGCAATAAACTACCATGCTAATGTAAAAATGCTGTCAATTCAAAAACCAACCACCATGTGTTAGTGCATGCACCATTCTCTTGATACACGCGTTTGTTGAGTGCATTTTCAATACGTCGTTAAAAAACTTCATTATATGATTCAGCGAGAAGCTACGTAAAAAGGTCAGTGAATAAATAGCATAAAATAGATAAGGCTATAAAAACTTCTATGAAGTCAACAAGACAGCCCTAGATGAGGAGAATAAATTATAGTTTATGACGTATAGACTAGTTCATCTGCAACCATCAGTGAACTTGGAATGTTTAGTTCATGCCATGTCTTCTGGACCCGCGATCTGATACTGGTTGTACTTGCAAATTTGGGTTAATGCCTCATGTTTTAACGACTAACCTGTTACTAGATAGTGTTGTTCGCGCAGAATTGAATTAAAATAACTTACCGTATTATGTTTTGACCATCACCGGTGAAGGTGGTGTAGACTTGGACGTAAAATATGTTCATGCTACAGTAGTTAATGTTTATCAATAACTCGTTACTTTAAAATGGTTCGTGAAGAATATGACTTGTATTTAGTTCGGGTCTTAAGTTTCAGCTGTTACTAGACAGGACATTTCTGCTCAGAATTGAGTGAAATAAGTTAATGCCTAACATTTTCACCACTTTCCTATTGTTAGCCAAGGTGGTTACATCGGAAAAACATGTGCACGTGCGATTACCGACGGCCAGTTTCACGAGCTGACACGTGAGAAAAGTCTCCGTGCAATAAAATCCGAAATTTGAAAAGTAAACGTTAAATAGAAACGGTTGAAAAATATATTTAATTAGATATACTGAAGGCCAGGTTTATTTTTAGTTTCACTTGAAATACATAGCTTACCCTGATTGGAAGTTATTATTATATTTACTTTACATATCTTAGTTCCTTTCAAAACGTACCTATTTCTTTTTAGTGGGTAAGTCACCCATGATGAATTTTATATGAAGTAACTAGAATATGCACTTTTGTTTCCACTCGTAATTCTGAAATTGTCGGGTTTACAGCGTATAATAATAATGTTGGTCGTAATTCATTTATTTTATATGTGGTTTTATGGTGACTATTATTATCATAAGTAGCCTGTATGGCTATATGTTGAGTAACTATATTGATCGTAGACAGACTGTCGAGTTCTTAAACGCCTAAAATGGTGGAGCAATAACACGTTTTAGTCCTCATAAAAAAGTTACAAATTATTTTTTAACGCGTGTGTATGTATGTATGTATATATATATATATTTGTTTATTAATTCTTTTAACAACGTGAATAAGGATTTGGAATTACTCGTGTCTTAAAAATAACATTCCGGTTCTATCTTGTCCGCCTTAAAATGTCTGCACAAAAGGTCTTTCGTGCAATATCAGGACTCATCATACATACAAACAATTTTCTTTAGCTAAATTTCACGTTCGTATTAGCTGATAGTTTTTGTTTTGTTTTTTCGTACTTTTTTAATATTTTGTGAAATAATAGTCACTTCATAATTTTAAGAAATTCCAGTTTGTTGTATTGAGATAGAAGTTATTCTGTGAGGGTTGTAAATGAAATCGAAACTGCTGTGTTAAAAAACATTCCTGGAATTAAGGCACTTCTTTTAAGAACAGGTGTGATTAAGGACACCCAACTTTTCAAAAAGTTTAAAAATAACACGTAAAGAAAACTAGAAACTAAATAAATGTAAGAATATTGTTATGTTACCGCTGATTTTTATTATCATAAAACCTACGTGAGTTTTGTCGTGATAAGCCTACAGATGGATATTAGGGTTTTGCTTGTGAGGTTTTACTTTAAAAGTAGTGAGATCAAAAGGTAAGGTCGTAATTTGTGTATCTGTTAAGCACGACTGCTGTGTGTCTGTAGCTAGACAAATTAGTGATTTGGCCAAATAGATCGGGTTGGGTATATGTTCATAGAAATTATTGAGGTATTGTCTTACAGAGTTTGTGTACAATTCGGAATAAGAAGTTTCTTGCCTTTCTAATAGTCGTATTTTTATTATTTTATCGTAAATGATTCGTGTTTTTTTATGTATTTTTCTTGTACAACTACGATTTTCAAAATTTAAAGATATTGATCACTAACTTTTTTGTACTGATTAAAATTAGTTGTTACCCTCGGCGAGTTTCCCGTGGCGCTGCGGTCGTATGATATCGAATAGTTTCCCAAAGAAAATTTCATGTTTGTGAAGCATGCAAGGTAACGAGTAGTATCATTAAATTTAACAGTTGCAAGTATATTCACAAAATTTTGATGAAATCCAAAAACAAACGGGAAATTATATAGGATTCATCAAGCTAAGTACGAGCACAAAGGGGTATCATCGTATGTTTTTAATATATATATATATATATATAATGTATGTCTGTATATATACATATATCATTTTCTAAGATTCTAACCAAGAAATGTATATGCGATAAATGTTATAACTAAAGCCAATGATGTCAATAGTTGGCAGTTCACACATAAGGAGTGGTGCCGGAAGTGGAACAAACCACTAGCTAACTGTTTTGCATGCTAGTTGTCCGACTGCATGGAGACTGTTTTCGTAGAAACTCTTATCATGCAATTAGAATATTCTGGTATGTGAGATAGTGAAAGTGCCAGGATGTGATGAGTCTGATTGGTTGCACTTTAGGCGCCAACACGCGCGCGTGCTTTCTTGTTCAAGAAAGATTCATCTGGACAGTAGAGATGAAAAGCCGTGCGTGAGCGAGTTCTCTGTTCTGATAAGTTGGCCAGTTTAATGAATGTTTTTACCAACTTTTTATGTTAGTTTGAAAAAATATATAATGAACAGCCCTGTCATTTTTTATTGGTCTTATCAGTCAACATTTGGAGCTGAAATTTTCCGTTATCTTCATAACTGTTAATAAATTCATCAACTTCTCAACCATCAATAACCATAATTTGCTCATAAATCTTCTTCAGTCACCTTTGTTGTTATTCAGCAACAGATAATGTTCACTCTTATCCACTGTCTTATGTCTTCAATTTTCATAAAGAATTCTGGGTATTTTAGTTAGTTGTGGTCTGCTAATTAAGTTGTACACTTGCTTATCTAATGAACAATTTATTATAAAATACGAGTACTATATTCGTGACCAGACAGTAGACATTTCAGTGCTGTGACCAGAGTTCTATAAGATCAATGGTCAAGATATGGTACAAATTGATAATATATCCTGTGGTTCAGTTTCTCACATTTCAAAGTAATCTTTTATTTATTAAAGCTATAATACGGGTACCATGCCCCTCACCTGGATATAATCACCTACTGAGGAACAGGAAGATACTAGCTGGGACAGTGTTTGGTGAAGTGACTAATACCCATAGTAGTCCAGGCTTGGATATGAAGTGATCTTGCTAGACACATTGTGGGTTCTCATTCTTCCCACCAATTCCCAGGGATGAACCAGTACCACAAATGTTGCCACTGGTTACAAAACCCTTAGGCCTTCTTAGATCCAAAAATTTGGAAAGGAAGTCACCAGTGGAAGGTTGTTCATTCAGGTGTAAATTTATGTTCTGAGGCCACATAAGATCTCTTTAGGTTACCTCAATAATCAATACCTAGTTACCATCACCAGAACTATGGATTGAGATTCTTGAGCTACACCCACTCCTCAGGTGGGACAGGAACTCTGGGCTACCACAGCTCCTGAGCACACCTCAATGTTTTCTCTCAAAAGAAAGAGATCGTTAGAGGGTGCAACTGCTGTTCAGACTGACCCCAAGAGTTTCAAGACTAAGACAGTAAATATGCATCAAGAACCAGAATCTCATGTTCAAATGAATAATGAGATAAGAAGTCATGACAAGTCCTTTACCTTGCATATATTAGTTGGATCAGACTTTCTGAATTCAAAGTTAGCACACTTCAATAAGGTTTGCCACCCACACTGTGTAGGGTGGTGAACAAAAAAACTAGTCAATCCATCAAATTTAAGAGAATAGTTAGAAAGTATATGGAGAGCCTTGTTCACTGGATTAAGAAAGTTGCTGTCTGGAATACTTTGTTACAAGATCTGGTAGTGTAAGTTCTTATGTTAGCCATGGATGGTCCAGTTCTCATTGCAGTTGATTATATTGGTGGACACCAACTGGAAAAGTGGAACTGATTTTTCAAGAAGCTTCAACACAGGTTCAATCATGTAGGAAATGGAACTCTACAAATGGCTGAATGTAGGGCTCACAAACACAACCAACTGCAAACCTGGCTTGCTTATGAAGATGACCTTTATTGTTTACATAATAAAACTTATCCAGGTGTGGCTTTAGCAGATTGTCTTCCAGTTAAACCACATCACTTAATAAGGAGTAAGAGACATTCTTATCTGCACAGAGGTAGTATCTGTGAGTATCACGACATTTGACTGCCACAGTAATAGACTGCCAGTGTATTTTACTGCCATCAAATAATTATGTTTTCAAAACAAAGCATTTCCTAGCACAGAGAGTGACTTTAAAAACAGAATTATAAAGTAATTGAATAATTTGCTGGTAAAAAAGTGCTATCACTATATAGCAAATATGTACACTATTATTTATGTTTGCATGGGTACAAATGTTATGATGTAATTTTCGGGTTCAAGGTTTTTTGACATGATAATGGTTGCTTTTATAATATTCTGACAATATAATTTCTTTATATGCAGAAAACCTTAAAATGAAATAATTATTGCTGCATCCATTTGCTGGCAGTAAAATGTCATAGAACCGTATCTGATGTATTGAGAATCAGACTTGTAATTCACTGTACGATATTAGAGCAAAAAGAAAGATGTAGTAATAGCTATAATTTTTCTAAGAATATAATCTCATGATGGTCCTGCACCTTAGAGTGTAAAAAAAATAATAATTGTGCAGATAAATCATCAATACCACAGTGTGTTACATCTCACCAAAATGACTGGGTATATAGCTCTTGTGACACCTGCTAAGCCATCAAATCACAGCGAGAATGTGATTTGACCAGCATTTTAAGACATCTAGGGGACACCTGACATGACTTTCAAGATTGAGAACACTTTATACATAACTGCTCAAATCTGTCTTGCATGGATGATGAAAAAGATGGGCTTAAATATGTTTTGGTAATGGAAAAAATTAGAGGCTCGGGGACAAGCTGTGAAAACTGACAAGCCACATAATTTAAACTAGCCATTCCCATGATAAATATGGCTGTTCATCTGAAAGAAAGCAGTAAATATACTGTATTAGAAAAAGTAGTGGCTAAATCGATTAATACTGGCACAAGTATAGCGTAAGAAATATATTTACAAATAAATAGAAGAAGGTAGGGATTTTTAGTATTAATCTTTTTCCTCCCAATGATTTAAACGAAGCTACAAATGCAGTGACGGAAACTACATATAATATAACTTACGTGCTGTTCAGTTACCAAGCTGCACTTGCTAGTATGACAGTTCCAAAAAACAAGTACAAGTCATTCATGGCGTGCAACTGTAAACAAGCAACAAGTACAAGTCATTCATGGCATGCAACTGTAAACAAGCAACAAGTACGAGTCATTCATGGCGTGCAACTGTAAACAAGCAACAAGTACGAGTCATTCATGGCGTGCAACTGTAAACAAGCAACAAGTACGAGTCATTCATGG